TTTATTTTTACAAAACTTGAATCAAAATGATCCTACCCTCTTTCTTCCTTGTGTATTTTTAAGATTTATTGGAGGAACCATAAAAAGAACACTTGTAAAAAATTTAATAATGAAGGCAGTCAGCACATAACTGTAATGATGATGTCCCAGAGTCTCTGGCTTACCACCAGTCTCAAGGACTACACCCCGGTTGGGGGCCAAGGAGCCCGGCTGTGAGGTCTCAGTAAAGATTTTCTTAGGTCACTGCAGTTGGATCTGAGTTACAGTGGGCCCAGCTCTTCAATCACAGCTGTAAGATCTTGAGTAAATCAGTTAACTTCCTGGTAATTTATTTCAAACATACTGACATCACATGGCTCACAGGGTTGTATAGATTCAAAGTGATAATGGATGTGAAAGCACTTCGTAAACTACGACATGCATATCAGATTCCAGTACAAAAGTATATACGTATGTGTACACATGCACATGAGGATATGGAAGCTTTTCTTATTTGACTCATATTTTACACACACACACACATGCACACACTTTTATTTCCCAATCAGGGGAAGGAAGTCTAACGCTGTTCCAAATCCCTCTCCTGCCCCCATTCCCTTCTCTGAGCACCACTGGGTGTCTGGTGATGGTCTCCCAGGCCCCACTTCTTCTGGGCATGTCATGGAATATGAACAGCCCAGAAGTGACAGTTCAAGCAACTTGGGCTCAGCTCCCTCTGTTCCCTGCTCATCCTCTGGTGGATAGGCTGTGGAGCCGTGGAGCCATCAGAAGTAATGGCCAGGGAGTGGGGAGGTGATTCACATCATAATCAGCTGCAATATTAGAACTGACATTAGTGTTTAAAAGCACACCCTTCCAGATACTCTCTCTCTCACACACACTTTTTTTAAAATCAGGGATCAGTTAACTAATTCTAGAAAAGGAAAAATTATTTCTCTGCCTAAAACCCTTTTAAGATGCCCCTCTAGCTCAGGATAGAGTCTAGTCCCTTTTAGGACACTGGACGCCCCATGCACACTGTGCCCTTCCCAGTTGCGTCCCCTCACTCCCCACCGTGAGCCTGTGCTTCAACCCCATGGGCCTCCTCACCCCATGTGCACAATCCTCACACCTCCCACACTTGCTCATGAGAATCCATGGCTTGGAAGGCCCTCTGTCCTCCCAGGCCTTCCTCTCTTCTGCCTGGACATCTCCACTATGAAGACCCAGGTCAAAAGATGGCTCCTGCCTGACCGGTCAGAATGCGTCCCCACAGCCCCTGGGGACAGTGACAGTGCCGGGAGAAAAAATGGGAACAGGGCTGAATGTCACTGACCACCACTCTGCCGAACCTTCCCAGGCTGCCAGGTAAAACCAGGCCTGGCGGCGCTGCCTGCTCAGCCACCCTGGGGGACAGACTTCCAGGGGAGGCCACCTGCTCTGCCATTCCCTCCAGGCTGTGCCGGCCCAGCAGTTAGGTATTTGGTCCTATCCTTGACACATCCCTACTTTCTGGTGCTGAGCGGAAACCAAAATACTTCCTTGAAAAGGTCAGAAAATTGATGGATCTTTGTCAGACTTTTTAAAAATTGATACAGCAGCAGACTGAGTGGGCTCAGAGGATGGATTTCTCACCTATTCTTTGGGAAGAGAGCTATTTTAAATTCACCAAGTATGATGTATGTTTTCCTTGTTCCATAAATCAACTCTCTTTTCTGGACTTTTAGCTCTGTGTACAGACCTGTATGGACCATTCTCCCTTACACCTTTGCTCCATTAATCACTGCAGTAGTTTCCAAGAAAGGATGTGCACAGAGGTTATCATGCCAACTCCTCTAAAATTGTCAGCACACAATGACACTTCCCGGCCAAGCCAGAGGCTGTGATTCTACAGAGGACACCACCCAAGGAAGTGAGGGTGAGAAGCCTCTGCAGCTGCCCACCACCACAAGGCTGCCCCCTCTCCTAGTGGCCCAGCACAGCGGGAGGGAAGGCCGGAGGGCAACCGCAGGGTAGATCCGAGGGAGGGACTGTGCACCATGCGGCCTTGAGAGACAGGCCGGGGTCGCCCAGGGTCCTGCCCGAGCTCAACAAAAACCTGACGTGACTCAGGAGTTGTGAGCTGCTGGGAAGATGTGCTGTGTCTTGTCTTCATCACAGAATCTTCCACTTAAATTCTTCACATAATCACCTTGAAATCATACCACTTAGAGATCCACCTAGGGGATGGCAGCTAGTAGGCATTCTCACATTGGTATAATGTAGATTCTGTCCATTTTTTTCCCTGAACAGGTAACTACAGTCACTTCTTTTTCTCTTAGCTCAGAACCACTAATAGGAAGAAAGGCTAGGGGGCATTGGCTGCAGAGACGAGGTGCGGGGCAGGCAGAGGCAGGGTGGGAGCGCCTCAGCAGGCAGTCACAGAGGCGAGAGTCAGGCAGGAGCCCAGGCAGGGCTGCACGAGGTCTGAGCAAGGGCGCGCTCCCCGGTGCTGGGGGGCCTAGGGGGCCCCAGAGCAGCCTCATCTGCAATCACTGGGCCGCGTGAGCTCCAGAGCCTCAGAGACTCAGGAACACAGCACAGGTGCCACACAAACAGCCTCATGTCACCTATGCGACGGCATGTGCTACTCGGTGAATTACAGATTTGTAGGTAAGAGGCTGTGGGCCTGTATTTCTGTGCTGATCGGTGAAGAGCACAGAGCCCCTTCCATGGCTGGGTCCCCTCGCTGTTCCCGTGCCCAGCAATTCTGAGGGCTGCCTGGTCCAGGGAACTGCAGGCCACTGCCTCACTGCACTCATGGTTCTGTGACCTGTGGCTGCCAGACACTGCTGTTAGTGATGCCCAGAGGAGGTGCGGGGTGGCTGGCACAGTGGGACAGCTGGGTGAGGGGTCCCGGGCTCACCCATCCTGAGAAGCGTATGAGGTGTGGGGGAAAAGCCTGGGCTGGGGGACCCAGGGCGGGCATGGTGTCAATCTCTGCCACCCACTGGCTCAGAGGTCTGGGGTGGCCTGATAAGTGCCTTTGGGCCTCAGTTTGCTCACCTGAGAGATGGGAACAGTAGTACCTGATGTGGTTGTTAGGGGATTGAGTGAGGCAGTGGGGCTTAAAGCACTTTATGGACCAGAATTTGCTTCTCTAATAGAAGCTACCATCACCCCTAGCACTGATTGTTGGGGGAATGAAACAAAACAACATATGTATGCCGTAAATTACATCAAAAGTGGAGTTGTATTGTTACTGTGACCCTTCTACTGCAGAAGAGGGCCTAGTTTCCCAGAGCTGCAAGGGCAGCCCAGACTGTGCAGCCAACAGGGCTCTTCCTCCATCAGCCTCTCTGTGCACCCTCCCACCTCCAGGACCCCTCCCTGCCGGCTCCCTGGTAAATAGAAGCCTTGAAAAGGAGGCATAGGAGGGGCTGTGGGCTGATCCTCGGGTCCCTGCCAACAGCTGTCTCCCTGGGGGAGCCCTCGTCACCATAGCCCATCCTGTCCTCTGTGGCCCGCTGCAGCAGGGCCCCCAGGCTCAGGCACAGCCTGCACATGCCTGCTCCATCTCCCAGGCAATCTGCTCCCAGAACACTGGGGTCCCAAGTGCACACTCAGAGTGACACCAGCTACTCGGGGCTGCAGAGAGATCAGTGAGCACGTGGACACCCTTCAAACATGGCACAGGAAGCAGGGGAGCTGTGGAAGCTCAGAAGCGGGTTTCAAGGCAATGAAACTGAGCGGCCACAGTCTGCTGGGGAGACCAGACCTGTCCGCCTGGCATAGGGCACGGGGAACCGCCAACTTCTCGCCCTGGGGCCTGGACAGGCCACCCCGAGGTACTGTTGGAGTGAAAGTGCCTAGCCTGTGGGCATCATAAGAGTCCTGTGCTGTTCCATTTTGCTTTGTTTTAGTTCTGGATTTTTTTCAATTTAGAGACTTGACTTTTATGTGTGAGGCTGAGCCCTGGAAAGCTAACCGCACAGCCTTTACAGGAATGGTGTGTGCCTTGCTGTGAGCCATGGGGAGCTAACCGACTGCTAGGCACCCGCCCCAGTGGCTGCCTCAGTGGGACGGGGTGGGGGTGAGGCGCCCTGGGCCAGCCCGGTGGGATGCCCGGGGGTCTCAGCGCATGTCCTACTCGGCATGACTCACTTCCCCTGCAGGCTAGTGATCGAGACAGGGAACATTTTCAAGAGACCTCATTTTAGAGACAAAGCGTGAGATCCGAGGTGCAACAATCTCATGGCAGTTTCTTGCTGACAGAGAATTTCTGTCATGCAGAAGTAAACAACTTCCAGTGGTTTTCTACTTTCTGCTTTACTCATTTTTAAATCTTACTCTTCTTACTGCTACCATACTGCTTTTCCATGGGCAAAGAGGACATTTTCTACAGGAAATAGCAGCCAAAAATTAGAAACAAAGATTTCTGTTTTCTCTTCCCTATCTGAATCCCTGAATCATAGAGCAATTTGACAAATTGGCTTTTACTTTACAATAGGAACTAAACAATTTATACCTCCTTTGACTCCTCATTTGAGATTTAATATGCACAGTATTGCATGACATGATTTGAGCTATAAATCACCCTCTACAGATAATGCCAGGACAGACAGGTTGAAAATTCAGAAACTGTTTTAACCACCTCCATTCCAAATAGTCTTCTACTTTATATTTAAAACTTTCTCCTTAAATGTATTTTTATTCTATATAGAACTTCTTTAGGGAGAGAACATACACCTTGTAATTACTGCTGATTAACAGTAGCTTCATCACGTGGTGCACATCTCATATATTCTAGAACAATGCTATACTAATATTAGCTTTCAATACGTAACCAAAACTTTAGATTATATACATAAGGTCTTAGATTGTCTGCTCCTGCACTCAGGTTTAAGACTGCATCTCAATTACGGAGGATTTCCTTCTGCTTCAGAATTCCATGGCTGTTTTTAACACTCGACAGAAGCATTGGGGACAGTATTCAGCATTTTCCTGGGAAAACCAATTAACAGCTTGCATTGTCTCTGCAGACCCAGGGGGCAGGCTCTCCTCGCTCCTCCCCCAGCCACACCATCAGCAGGCCCATCCCCATGCCAGTCCGGTCCTCATCTGCCAGCTCCACCCCGTCTCACACGCCTCAGGACTCTCTCACTGGCGTAGGGGGAGATGTCCAGGAGGCATTTGCACAAAGTAAGTGCCTTTATTTTTGTTGTACTCTGCTTTTACATTAAATAGGTTGCCACAGTCTGTTGAGCAGTGACCTGTCAGAGCCACACAGTGCATGCTGAGGGGCTCCAGGGCCTGTGTCAGAGCCTGGCCTGCCAGCCATTAGCAGTGCCCTTCCCTAATCGCCATTTCACCTCCCCTTGGCTTCCTTAGTCCTACCTCATCCTTGATGAGTCTATGCTCACTAAGGGAAGGAAATCCTGTCATCAATATCCCAGGAAACTTGATAAGTATAATCATTTTAATATTCTGAAAGATCTTATTTCTGCTTCCTTCTCTTTACTTTAAAGCAAACTCAAGATTGAGATTAAGCAGTTCCTGCTCTTTAGGCCTGAGGTGATCAGGAAGGATGCTCAGTAGTTAACACCTGCCCTAAAGGGTCAAATCATTGCCTCGGGCACAGAGGGCCCCAAGGTTAGGCCTGCACAGTTAATAGAGGCATACAGAGTGGTGCCTGGGGACAAACAGCATTCTCCCACCGGCTGCTTCTGCTGTTTACACTCTGCAGGGCAGACAGGTTTCCCAGGCAAGTGACTATTCATTTGGAAATAAAAATACCATGTAAGTGTCCATCAGTAGATGAATGGATAAAGAAGATGTGGTACATATACACAATGGTATATTATTCGGCCATAAGAAGAAAACAAATCCTACCATTTGAAACAACATGGATGGAGCTAGAGGGTATTATGCTCAGTGAAATAAGCCAGACAGACAAAGACAAGTACCAATTGTTTTCACTCATATGTGGAGTATAAGAACAAAGAAAAACTGAAGGAACAAAACAGCAGCAGAATCACAGAACCCAAGAATGGACTAACAGTTACCAAAGGGAAAGGGGCTGGGGAGGATGGGTGGGAAGGGAGGGATAAGGGCAGGGAAAAGAAAGGGGGTATTACGATTAGCATGTATAATATGGGGGGGGCACAGGGAGGGCTGTGCAACACAGAGAAGACAAGTAGTGATTCTACAACATCTTACTACGCTGATGGACAGTGACTGTAATGGGGTTTGTTGGGGAACTTGGTGAAGGGGGATGCCTAGTAAACATAATGTTCCTCATGTAATTGTAGATTAATGATACCAAAAATAAATGGGTACAGAGGGCAAGTATCTCATCATAATAAAGACCATATATGATAAACACACAGCCAACATCATACTTTACAGAGAGAAGCTGAAAGCTTTTCACCTAAGATCGGTAACAAGACAAGGATGCTCACTCTCCACTTTTATTCAGCATGGTTCTGGAGGTCCTTGCCACAGCAATCAGACAACACAAAGAAATAAAAGGCATCCACATTGGTAAGGAAGTTAAACTTTCCCTGTTTGCAGCTGACATGATGTTGTACATAGAAAACCTGAAGACTCCACTCCAAAACTACTAGAACTAATATCTGAATTCAGCAAAGTTGCAGATACAAAATTAATACACAGAAATCTGTTGCATTCCTATACACTAATGATGAACTAGCAGAAAGAGAAATCAGGAACACAATTCCATTCCCAATTGCATCAAAAAGAATAAAATGCCTAGAAATAAACCTAACAAAGGAAGTGAAAGACCTATACCCTGAAAACTATAAGACATTCTTAAGAGAAATTAAAGAGGATACTAATAAATGGAAATTCATCCCATGCTCTTGGCTAGGAAGAAGTAATATTGTTAAAATGGCCATCCTGCCTAAAGCAATCTACAGATTCAATGCAATCCCTATCAAAATACCAATGGCATTCTTCAACGAACTGGAACAAATAGTTCTAAAATTCATATGGAACCACAATAGACCCTTAATAGCCGAGGAAATCTTCAGAAAGAAGAACAAAGCAGGGGGAATCTCACCTCCCAACTTCAAGCTCTACTACAAAGCCACAGTAATCAAGACAATTTGGTACTGGCACAAGAACAGACTCATAGACCAATGGAACAAAATA